TGATGTACTACAAGCATTTATCTTTTACGAACTACTCTTGTGAATCTAGATTTAGTGCACATTTCTGATGATAAATTGTTTATCTCTTTTGTTATTCTTACGTGTAACTTTGAACGTTTATATACACATATATGTATTTAAAAAACCTATTTGTATGTTGTGTATGTATGTGCAGATGTGTATTTTCTGACAAATAATTTCTTTCCAAATCTAAAAAATTCAAGTCTGTCTCAAAATGATAAAGAATTTTTGTTTTTTAACGACATTTTCAAGAACCTTTTTTTTAATACGTCTTGTCTTTTTTCAAAGCAGTTATTTGTCTAAAGTTTCCTCGCTCTATCTTGGTTTTCTCATTTTTGTCTGCTCGTTCTTTTTAACTTCTTGCGCTTTATAACGCAGTTTATGTGAACCGACTATTTAACCTTTTGTTGTAGAATAAAAATCTGAAAAGCTTTAGTTGTGAAGAAAAAATCTGTTGCTGCAGTCTAAATAAGACCGCAAAAGTTTTGCTGATGTTTCAAAAGAAGATTAACCTTCTTTGTGTTTCTTGTATTCACATTAGCACCTTTGCTCACCAGAAACTTCACGATGTCAAGGTGACCATGCGTTGATGCACTGCTTAGTGGAGTTTCCTAAATAGAATAATCAAACCATCACAAATTTTATCTTCTACGATATTCTTTATGGTTTTAAACTTCGCTTGAATTTTAATGGTCACTTTGCGTCATTTGTCTAACTTTCTTTCTTTTTTTTTACGAGTAACTTCGAGTCTTTTTACGGTCTTGACCAACAGTTTTCTCAGAAGTTTTAAAGAAATTCAAGTTTCTTTTAGAACAAAAATGCTTTTATTTTAGGCTGCTTTTTCCAGCATTTCTATATTCTGCTTCACCACTTTTTGATAACTCTTGCTTGCTTCAATCTTTTTTTCGTCTTTTTTTTTGTTTTCTTCTTGCTGCTTCTCTTCTTTTATTAATATTTCCTTGTTTTACTCCTATTAACAGTCATAAGCTTTTTGTAATGATGTCCATGGATAAGTGAATTAAATCTCATGTCCTTCAACGGGTTGCTTACGAATTCATTTTTCCAAGCGTCAAATTGAATAGACTGGTTATACCTTCAATCAATATAATTTAATTTTTGAAAGAGTTTACCGAATTGATACTGCGTTAAGTGGCATCTCTCAAATTTTCTTTGTTTCTTATTAACCTGTAGAACTTGATAGGACGATTGTAACATCAACAAAGTCTACCTCAGGGAAAACGAACATGGCAAGATTGAACCAAAAAGTACAGTTTCTGATGAACTTGGCTATCTATAGAACTCCTGGGTAGTCGCAACAAATTTTTGAAGTTTTCACGTTATTTCAAAGCGCATCTTATGTAGAATTGTAAGATTAATTACTATGAAGATTACAGAAGAGATTTTGGAAAATGGTAAAAGTTCGTTATTAGCAGCTTTCATAAAAAATTGAAGTAAAAGACAAAGATTCAACACATTGTTATAGAAAAATGATAATTTAAACTTTTTTGGTAAGATACTTCGATGAAGACATAATTTTTGCTTAAAATACTAAAATTTCAAAATGGCATATCTATGATGTCACGAGCTAAGAATAATTGGTGGCAATAGGCTGCGGAAGATCTGCCATAACGTAGCGTTTCAGAACCTCCGCAACTGACAGAAATCTTGCCTTAAGTGACTTTTTTATTAAATACAATGATATTTTTAATAGTTTGAAAGATTTTTCAGTTATATCGCTTTGTAAACGAGTCTTTGATCAAAATTCTCCGTTTTTGATCATTTTGGAAACCTTTTGAAAAGAGAAATTGTTATAACAGTTACTTTTTTGACTTTTATCGACTTATTTCTTTATCAAACTTTTCTGACCTGAACGCAGCGAATTCAGTGTTGGTTGCTAACTACAAATAGTCTTCTGCTAGCGATCCTCAACAGTGCTTATGAATTTTCCTTATAACACAAGCTTTGGTGGAGAATCTGCGACAGCAAGAGAAGCACGTAAAATTTATGCCAACATCAACCGCTAAACATTCTGAAGAAAACAGCGCTTCAGAGCAAATCATCTATTCTCTGACAGAGCTCTATCACGGTACAGAAATTGGAAGAATTTTGCGAGCTTTCTTCTTCACTTTTTATGCTTTTATGCTTTTTACGGGAAATTGCAAATAAGCGTCACAACAAAGTGACGCTTATTTGCAATTTCCCGTAAAAAAAGTTTCAGTAGTAGCACAGGATACAGACCAAACAGACTAGCCAGTATGAAGACATTTTCAAACCAATTTTTACCTGTCAGCAGCTTTTACAACCAAGTACTGGTTAATCTAATAAAATTGTTGAAGTAGTTTTTGTGTACTCGAAACTGTATGAAACAAAAAAAAGTTTTCTCTGCACCACCTTCTCGCGTAAGTTCACCAGTCTAAGATACACAAAAATTTTATTGCATTGTACCACGAAGTGCAGATAAGAAAGTGGCAAAACACTATCTGCAGTTGAAGGCGAGCTTTGAGTTTCCGGTGTTCAGGTTGAAAAAGTCTAATAAGAGGATATGACGATAGAAATCAAAAAAGTAATCATTATTATATTTTCTCCTCGTAAAGTTTTCTAAACTATTCGAAAACAAAGTTTTGATCAAATACCTGTTATCTAAACAGTAAGACCAAAACACGCTTTAATATTTTGTAAATATCCATATATTTGATGATATTTTAGCTAAAACAAGATTTTTTATTTGCGGAGGTGCCACACCGCTGCGGTAATAAAAATTTCCCGCAGGTTATTGTCACTTTGTAACTCGCGATACTATATACATGTTACTTTGTAATTTAATACTTTATGCAGAAAATACGTCTTCAAAAAATCCGTTTTTTTTAGAATTTTCAAAGCACTGTTTTTCTAGAAACATTGTTATAATCTTTGCTTTTACGTCAATTTTGCAAAAGGTTTTTTAGTATAAGTATTCCGCCACTTTTCTAACTTTGTATGAGACTTGTTCTCAGAAATATTAAAAAATTTAAAAATCTATCGCAGATGAGCAAAAGAATAAGCTTTTAAAGACAATTGTGTGGACCAAAAACTGTATTTTTAGAACTAACCCTGCCGCTAAGACGCTTTTTAAAACGAACTCTTTTGATTTTGCAGTCGCGTATCAAGTTGTATAAGTTGGCAAAAATAAGAGGTTTAGTAAACAAAGTACAGAAAATTAAGAAGGCTACTTGCTGTTCGTCCCTTCCATCCAAGTTGGCACCTTTCTCCACCAGAAACTTGACAACTTCAAGATGACCATTGCTAGAAGCACTGTGTAATGGAGTGGCCTAAAAAAAAAAGAGCAAAACTGATTTCACTTCTGAATTTTGAGCACTTGCAGCAAAATTTTTTGTCTTTTCAGTATTTCAACAGTTTTTTAATTTTCTTTTACGTTCTTTATGCTCTTTTTGCTGGTTCACAGCTTGAGATATCATGTTGCAAAGTCATTTTTTCAGCTGTCGATTTTTTTTCTGGCTTTAAGCAAAGTGAATTTTTTTCTGCATTCTGAATCACAGTTTTCTGACTTTCCGTTATCACAATACTTTCTTTCTGTGTTCGGGCTTTGTCTCAAAGACTACTTATGGACAAACTTTTTCTAGTTTTCGTTCTTATTCGTTCGTTATCTATTTAGCAGTTTCTTATGCTTTTTGACTGTTGTAGAAATCAGAAAATGGGAAGAGTTTCTATGGTGCTACTCTACGCATTTGTGAAAGAAAGTGGCGCTATGAATAAGCCTCCCGAGTGCATTCTCTCCTAAATCTGCATCTAGGAAAATTTTAATAGCTTTATAAAGGTTTGCAAACGAAAATTTAGTGAGAAGGAGAGAGTTCACTGTTGTTGCAAATAAGACTTAACCTTGTTTCCGTCGTTCGAGTGGATGCTAGACCCCATTCTTACCAAAAACTCCACAATTTTGAAATGACCATTTGCAGATGCGTTGTGCAGTGCAGTAGCCTAAAGAGAATAATCAAATAAATCATTTTTCACTTTTCATACACTTTTCATACCTGATTTTGTGTAAATTTAAACAATTTTCCTGTATTAAGTCACAGTTGCTTTAATTTTCTGTTAATCTGTAGTCTAAGATGTATTTTAAAAGAAAGTGATTTTTCATTTATTTGTTTCTTTGTGTGCTTTAAGCAGATGGACATTGTTCTACAACGTACTCTAAACCTCTTCTCTTTTCGCCGGTTTTCACAAAGAACTTTTATCTTTTATATTTTATTAATTTCGTGCAGGTATTGATTAGAATAGATATTTCTTGTTTCTTATGGTTATGTTTTTTTTGCGCTTTTTCAGTATTGGTTTTTGATTTTTGCAAGCTGTAGGGTTGCAAACTTTGAAGAAGGCTTTACCATACGGAATGTGAGCCTGAGAGAAATTTACTAATAAGATACAAAGTTTTTTGTACTTAAGAAATGAACAGTGCAAAAATTATTTACTGTTTTCTGTAAAAGAGGTTTACCTGAGAACTGTCTTTTGCATCAATGTCTGCAGAATTTGCCACCAAAAACCTTACTACGTCAAGATGACCGTTTGCAGATGCAGTGTGCAACGGAGTTGTCTGAAAAAACTGTAGAGTTGGTTTTCAATTTTGAAGTAAGTTTTTTTTGAGGTTTACAACCTGGGGATTACGGTTTCAATATGAAAGAAAATTTTTTGTTGTAGTGTAACTTTAGTAGCATTTTTTTGCAGTTAACTTTTTTTGAGATTCAAAGCAAGCTTAATTGATCATATAAAGCAGAATTTTTGGGTACTATAAAATCCTGAATACCAAAATAAACTCTCTGGAAAGGATGACTGGGCCAAATCAATTATTTTTTTGGGATTTTTTTAAACCCTTGGAGAAGAAGGTTGCAATTAAGAGGCTATGTCTTTCCTTCTGGAAAGTGGAGCTTTGGAAAGTTTATCGACAGTATATGAATTCGCGGATATCAGAGATAAGGTAAAACAATAAATTAGATTCTCGTGGCGGCTAAATCTACCTGCCATCCGTCTCGTGTATTTGAATTGGCACCGTATCCCACTAAAACCATAACCACGTCAATATGACCATTTGCAGCAGCGTTGTGCAACGGAGTCACCTGTGACAAATAGTAAAACTAATTTTGGTCTGTGATTCTTACAAGCTTTATTCTAGTTGAAAATTTTGTTCAGTTTTACAGCACTTAAAAAATTTTTTTAAATTACCAGTTTCAAATAATCTAGTCTACCTTTCTCCATTCTTCATCTTACTTAATTTTTGATTGTTTTTTATTTTTTTATTTTAAACTTTTTTTTGAAAACTTTCATTACGGTGATAAAATGCACAATGAATTGTTCACCGACCCTTGAAAATTCAAATGTTTATTCGCTATTTCGCAAGACTCAAACCTTCTGAAGAACAGGTTACTTTAAAAAATGCATTAATTAACAGTTAAAGTTTATCAAGATTTGTAAGAGCAAAGAAAATAAACGGTTAAAACTTTAATTTAGTTTTTCTGATTAATTTTTGAAAGTTCTATATTTGAACAGTGAGTTCCTAACTACAAAAAATTCACTGTTTTAGGGGAGAATCTTTACCTGCCATTTGTCTTCCATATTAAAACGAGCTTTCCAGCTCAGCAGAACCTTCACCACTTCAATGTGGCCTTTCGTACTCGCCTCGTGCAATGAGGAGACCTAAATCAAACCTTGATTATTTTCTGTCTTCAGCTACTGAAAACATTTCTCTTGTTGCCCAAGCTTTTACTGATTTCCATTTCATTTACCAGATTAAGCGCTGAATTTTCTATCATATTTTTAAAAAATAATCTCGCTTTTTTTATCGCATGATTATATTTACTTATAGTCAACCTTCTTCCAAACTTGAAAAATTTTAAGTTAGTTGAACAACCCAAAGCACTCCTTCTTCGTCTTTCAAAACAGCTGCTCACACCTCCGTTCACCTCTGTTACACTGCTTCTTTATAATTTGCTATTTTAACAATTTTTTAAAATTATAGTGTTGTTGTTTTATAAGTTTATTATTTTAGTTATTAATATTGCGGTTTTTACTTTACTAGTTTCGGAATTTCTTCTGCTTATCTCCCAAGTCGTAATAAATATGTAACTATAAGAAGCCATTTGTTCATTCTTCAAAAGATGACTCTTTGAAGCCTTAGAGCTAAACAGCAATTTACAAAGAAATTTAAAAAAGTCTAAAATCTTCAAAAAAAATTTACCTGCTCCTCGTCTTGCGCATTCACGTCAGCCTTGTTTTCCAACAAAAACTTCGCCACTTTAAAATGACCATTTGCAGCTGCGTAATGCAGTGGAGTTTTCTAAACAAAATAGCCTCTCTAGTTTTAGTAGCTAATTTTCACAAGGCTTTCTATTACTGCCTCTCTTATGTTTAAATGAGCATCAAGCTTTTCAGCATATTTTTGAATTTTTGACGCATTTTCGATGTATTTTTCCAAATCAAGTTCTGAAACTTTTTGCATTTTTTTTTTTTTTTTTTTTTTTTTTTTTTTT